CTCTTTCCTGTGGGAACTCTTTTTTCAGAAGCTACATTATTTTCATTGACAAATAATTCCAGTTTTAGTGTTTTTGTACAAGGCACAGTACTGGTAATTGATAACTGCTTTTAGTTTTTGTTTGACTGTTGGCATTGCAGTATTCAAAATGAAAGATACTCTCTGGTATTGCTGTGTGATTCTTGAGATTTCCAAAGCCTCCAAACCAGGGTCAGTGCTCAGCTTGGAGATAGCAGGGACTGGTCCTGGCAGAGGTTTGTGGGTTCTTTTAACCTTAGGGAAAATCTTTCAATCTTATTTCTCACCTGTGCTAAGCCTGGGCAGTGCATGTGCTAGCACCAAGCTCAGCTCACTGGCACAAGAAGGACATGCCAGAGACCTCTGTGTGAGCAGGAGCTATACAGTACCTCTGTAGTAGCCCCTAGTGGGGGATCCCCACCACCTAAAAAGCATTAGAGCTACAGTGACCCCCAAATCATGCTGTTCTGGTTGCCTTTTAGTTAAAATAGAGTTGTGGCAGTTTTGTATGCAAAAAGCTTTAGAAGTATGTTGTCAACTTTTGTGTTTTGTGTTAAGAAGCCACAGTAAAGCCGCTTCTTCTGTTTATTTTTTTAGATGACTTCCACTTACCTCTTGATGTGTTACCAGCTGTGACAGAGGCGCTTGACTCCAAGACTAAAGGGGAAGATTTGCACAAGGAGAGCAGACCTTTCTGCTACTGTGAAAAGAAAACTATGGACCTGTCAGACAGCGACCGTCCTGTCAGCTTTAGCTCCACTTCCTCCTCTGCTTCCTCCAGGGACAGCCACTGCTCCTTTGGAAGCAGAATGACCTTGGTTTCAAACAGCCACTTGGGCTTGTTCAACCAGGATAAAGAAACGGGTGCCATCAAGCTAGAACTGGTCCCAGCCAGGCAGTTTTCCAGCAACAAGCCATGCAAAAACTCCCCTGCAGAGCAAGAGGATCCTGGGGAAAGTGTTGAAAAAAGGCTAAGCATGCCGAGGAAAGCAGAGCCAAAGGGAGCAAGCAAAAGCTGTGCAATGTCCCTGGTCACAGAGCCCACCAGTCCCAAGCTCCTCTATGTAGACAGAGTCGTCCAAGAGATTCTGGAGACAGAGAGGATGTATGTGCAGGATCTAAAAAGCATTGTGAAGGTAGGAGTCTTGGTTAGGATGGTGTTAACTGTTCCATAATGCTATTTTTTACGTTGTTTGATTTCACAGAAGGACGGATGGACCCGACAATGGAGTTGGCATTTGCTGGTCTTTATAAATTAGTGTAACTTCATTGTTCTTGTGTTTCTAGTTTTTACTTGATTAGATAAATCTAAACTGTTACTATGCACTCATGAAGAAATAAGAGGAAAAAAAAATTCTGTGGTTGACAGCAGTAGTGAACAAAAAGTTATAAACTCTTCGCAGTTTAAACTTTGTTTTATTTACCAAACAAATGTGCAATGCTCTGTTTCCTGTATAACAGGAAGCAAGCAGCAAACAGCTTGTTTGCCCCTTTAAATGCTTTACCTGAAGGGTCTCACTGATCCTTTCCCCGCCACTGAATCCTGGTTCTGCAAGTTCTTTCCTGCCTTTTTCTCTCTCTATTTCATGCAGCTCATAGCTACATTCTGTTCACTTCATGTCCTTGGCCTGTAGTATTGAATACGGCATGTGTATTTGTTGGAAAACCCTATTGTTTGGTTGTTATAAGAAGTAATTATGTTTCTTTAATACTAATTCGGAATGGGTGTTGCTAATAAACGGATGTAGCATTTATTAGCAACAGTGAAGTTTTTGTCTAACCCCCAGATGAACAGTATCTTTCTTTTTCCTTTTCTAGTACAGCAAAAAACATGGATGAGTCCTGTAGATTGTTCTGCTCACTCCATGTACATGTAGCTGTGCGATCAGTCATGTTCTTTGGTGTTTTTGAAGATGACAGTTGAGTTCTTTGGCTATTTTTTGTAGTCTGCATACTTAACCTATGTGTGCATGACTACCCACAAAGATGTTTCTTGGGAGGTGCATGTTTAATGCACTGTTTATAGAATGTATGGCTTAAGATAGCTGTATGAGGTCATCTGTGAAAGGAAATATCAGTCAGCTGGAAACACTCTCCCCACCCACAGTTCCAACCTGCTTGGTCCCCCAAACAGTGAACAGGTAAAATCGCTAAGGCTTTGATAACACAAATGCATGTCATGATTAAACACCCCCACTCCCCTAGAGTTCTCACAAATAAGGCTTTTCCTGCAAGACTTTATTGGTTTCTGTAGCTGCTGCTGTTTCTTTACATTTAACTGTTGTCTAAGTTTCATTTTGGAGTGTTTAAGGTTGTCATATGCAAAAAGCTTCTCTGCGTAGTCACCGTTCACTAGGCATGACCTCTGTGCTTCTGGAAACCTTACTTCTCACTTATTCTCCTATGCAGTAAACTGTACAACTTGGGAAATTGGGAACTACCTTTAAAATCTCGAAACAGATTTTCCATTTACAAGTGGGAAGGCCACCAAATGCTTGCCAGAAATACTTTAAGCATCACTACAGTGGATGTAGAGTAAATGTGGCAAATGTTCTTGAAGTTTATGAAAGAACTGGAGGAATTTAGCTGTGAAATTCCCAAGTATGTTTCATACAGCAAGTAATAAATAATGATTCTTCAAAGCTTTGTGTGGCACTAGGCAAGATATTTGAAAGATGGATTAGTTGGCAGTGGGGCTTTTCTTAGGTACTGAGGATCTGAGGGCTTCAAAGGAGCTCCTTCCCAAATTGTGAGGGCAGTGGGAAACCAGCTGCCTCAGGCTGTGCATGGCCTTAGGGAGGAGGAAGGTGTGACTGGAAGTGTTTTAAAGGAGCTCATTTTATATGTTTCTTGGGATTCTTTTCTCCTCAAGTTATTTTAGCAATGCTGCAGTGATTTACCTAACCAAGGATGGTGGTTGTGAGAAGATTGGGAAGACTTCATGGACATCTGTAGGAGTGTCGCAGCGCTACAAAATTTGATTATCCTGGGCCTCTATGACTTGAGGTCATTTAGTTTGGCAGCAAGCTGACTGGTGCTGAGCCAAACTAAGATGAAGGGAAGCAGCTTGATCTGTCTTATTTTTCAGATAAACATGGGTCAAATTTTGACAGCTGGTTAGGAAATAGGAAGAGAATGGGAAAAGAGAAGCTGGGGAAAGGTCAAAGGACAACTGCTGCCCAAGAAGTGTGTGCGAACTGAAGAGATACATGAAGGTGGGAGCCAGTGGAGGAAAGCATAAGCAAATGAACCAGTGCAAGGTGGAGAGAGAAAATCATTAGAGGGAAAACAATACGAGGAAATGAGAGCAAACTCAGGAAGTGGAAAGTTGAGAGGAGTATGAAATTGGTTGAAATTGGAGCTCTCAAGTGAGTTTTGTAGCTGACTGCAATACAGCAGTTTATGTACACAGACTGCAAATAGCAAGCAAGTTTTGTTTGGTTTTGGGTGGGGAGGGAGGAAGAGAAGCAGTGCAACCCAGGTACAAAGGGCTAAAAGCTGAAGAGGTGTCAGACTGACGATGACGTAAGAGCAAAAATGGAGAAATGGATAGGTTCCATATTTCAATCACCTTCTACCCCGCGCTGAGGATTGTTGGTACAGATATAGTCTATAGTTTTTTTGTCCCCTGGTAGTGGAGATTTGCTGATGCTACCTTCTCTGTAGACAGTTCAAACATACTTAAAAGGAAAATATTCTTTCTGTTGTTTCCAGCACTTTGAAACAGTCTCCAGTGCTGGAACTGAGAGAGTGTCAAAACTCACTAATCCAGTCTCGAAATTTCTGGTGTATATCGAAGTGTGTTTGCCTGTGATGCACAGACAATCTGGGTTTGTTTCTTTGTTTGTTTGTAGTTTTTGGAGGATTGAGATTTTCTTTTTACCTTGGGGAGAGTTTTGGTAGCTTTTTTTTGTTGGTTATGTTTGTTTTTTTATACATCCACACTCTTTTCACCTGGATCATTAATGAATATCATAAAAGGACTGGACCCAGTATTAGCCTCTGGGGTATGCTGCTAATTGCTGGCCTCCAACTAGATTTTGTGTTTTTGATCACCACCCTTAGAGCCTGTCTGTTCAGCCAGTTTTCAATCAACCTATATTCTTATCTAACCCATACTTGATCAGCTTGTCTATGAGGATCTTATGATTGCTAACGTCAAAATGCTTTCTGAAATCAAGTTAGTCAACATCCACGGCTCTCCACTCATCTATCAAGCCAGTCATTTCGTTGTAGAAGGTTATCAGGGTGGTCAAATTCCCCTTAGCGAATCCATGCTGACTGTTCTTGATTACTTTCTTGTCCTTCGTGTGCCTGGAACTGGTTTCCAAGATTAGTTATACACAAATGTAAAGAATAAAGCTGTACACAAATGACCCATTAACATGGATGGTGTGAAATTGCATGTAGAATTGTGATACTATTAAACTTATCCAAAGTCAGCTCATTAAGAGTTAGCCTAGCATAGTATTTTGGGCAGTGTCCTTTCAGCCTATGTTATCCTTAGAACACGTAGAGTTACTGTGTTTGACATAAAAGACTATGGAGTGAATGGGGGGAAAATAGAGTTTCACCCTTTCTGATGCCTTTATTGACCTAATGCTGTTAGGTCATTAATATGTAAATAAATAAAAATAAACTAAAAAGGCATAACTTCTGTTGGCTTTTGAATATATGTGTGGTCTTAGTTCTTAACAGCACCACAATGCTAGATAGATGTAGAAATCGACTTCATAGAACATGGCTAATGTGATCTTTAATTGATACTGTAGGCCTGCTTAGGTTCTCCCGCTTTCTTTTAAATTGCTGATAAGAAATATTTCATCGACTTAGGGTGAGTGAGAGGAGGACATACAGGTACTTTTTGGCTCCCTTTGCCCCAGGATATGCTTTAAAAACAACTGCTTTTCTAGCTGGTACAGTCATTTTGTCTGTGACCTGAAAGAACAGTTGAATTATGATTGTTTTGAGGCATGCTGCTGTGATTCTTGCACAGGCAAGCATTGTAACAAAGATAGAGTGAATTTTTCTATTGTTTGGTATGTTTTATCAGATGATCTGTTAAGTATAATTAAAATTTTGCATTAGTAGAGCTTGAAGCTTGTTTTGGGCAAGTTTGTGATGAGAAATCGGATACCTGTGCTTCCTGCTTGTGTCATGCTGACAGGTGTACTGGCCAGGGCAGAACCTGCAGACCTCCTCCTCTTTAGGACCTGACTTTTTCAAATAATAATTTAGTTAGAATAGGCATAAAGTTCAATTAGAGTGACTTACTAAAGTATTTTTTTTCCTGAGTAAAATGCTGTCTCTGAGTTTATAATAAAAATGTGTTTTGCTCTTGCACTTCACAGGAGTCAAAAGCTCATGTTCATACTTTGTACAAATGCTTGTAACTGTAGAAAAAGGCGTCAACGTTTATGTTTTACCTTTACAGAAGGAAGGAATAATGCAAATGCACTGTTACAGTGCATGCATCTGTCATATTACATTAAATACACTTTCACAGTGATACCAGCTTGTTGAGAACATCTAGATCTACTGCATGAACCTCAGCCATTTGGTAGAAGAACTTGGTCAGTAAAATAATATCAGTAAAAAGTCATTGGGATCTGTACAGTAGCTAGAGGGGGGTGAAGCATGTGTTATCAATGAATTTCACAAATATTTGGTGCAAATGGAGGTTAAGCTTCAGGAATCTTGAACTCCATCTGAAATCTGGGAGACTTCTTTCATGTGAATGAGTTCCTCTAGTGTCTCATTCCAAATGTGACATTTTTAAAACCATCTCTACTGGACTAGTTGAAATCTCTCTTCTGTCTGCTCTGTAGATCTTTTGTCCCCTTCCTTTCTCTTTTCTTTTATATTAAAGACGACTCATTCAAGCCTTTTTAAGCTAGAAAGTCCCATTCTCCTCTGCAGTCTTCTGCCTATGGTCTCCCTGCACATCTGTCCTAAGTTTTCTCTCAGTAAATCCCATCCTCATCACCTGTCAGTCCATATTGTCTCATTTCCTCATGTGATTTGTCACTTTTTAGTCTTTCTCTTTCCCATGTTCATAGTGTCTGATGACTCCAGATCTCTTGGTGGATCTGAAGACACTCTCTTAAATAACTTGTCACAGTGTTTTTGCCATGTC